TGCTTGCTTATATATGGAACAGGAGCAGTTTAGAACGAGTCTCAGCAGTTGGGGCCATTGAAACTGGAGTCATGGAGCTGCTGTTGGCCCAGCTCCTCGAGGCCACAGTTCCACGTGGATTCTGCATGCAGAATCCTTAGCTACCTAATGAAATGCAAGATGCAGCCATGCAACCTTTGACAGCCTTTGGGCTGTCAGTGAGGAGCAATCACCTGTCAAAGATGAATCCTGAGTGAGGGAAGGTAGTCCAGGAAAGGTAGCCCAGAGAAGAGTGATCCCAGGGCAGGGAGAGAGCCCCAGGATTAGAGAGGCCTGCATCCAGTAAAGGTTCCCTAAGGAGGAGGCATAGGCCCAGGAGAGGGCTGGCACTGAGTGACAGGTGGGTGCTGAGAAGAAACCACTGGGGCAGGAGAAGGAGAGGAGTTGGGAGCAGGAATAGGGCCATGTTGCCCAGGACCCGGGGAGAGGGAGAAGCCAGGATATCGACATTCAGGGTTGCACTAACACCCAGTTCCATTGTGTACTCTTGAATTGAGCCTTCATGAATGTGTAGTGTGTATTCTCTTGTAGTTGGCCATAATGTGATTTAATGTTCTCTTATGCCGAGACCAAGCAATATAGTCACTATATTAAGATGAGTTTTTGTTTCTTTGTGTCTGTCTTTATGTTTTTGCTTTTGTTTTTTGATTCAGACTTTCAATGATGTAGCCCCTGCTGGACCTGGAACTTCTGGTATATAGACCAGGGTAGCCTTGAACTTACAGAGATCCACCCACCTCTGCCTCCAAGTGCTGGGATTAAAGACTTCTTTTACCATGCCCTGCTCTTTGTGGACCACTTTTGGTTTGGTTTGAAACACCACAATCTTGCTATGTAGACATTGCTGGCCTGGGAAATCACTGTATAGCCCAGACTGGTCTCGTGGCAGCCTCCTCATTCATGATATAACAGGTATGCACTACCACACCTGGTCTGAGTTAATGTGTCTGTCTCCCCCCCCACTTTTTTTTTTTTTTTTTTTGGTTTTTCAACACAGGTTTCTCTGTGGCTTTGTAGGCTGTCCTGGAACTAGCTCTTGTAGACCAGGCTGGTCTCGAACTCGTAGAGATCTGTCTGCCTCTGCCTCCCAAGTGCTGGGATTAAAGGTGTGCACCACTACCCAGCTTCTTTTCTTTTCCAACCCGTTGAGACAGAGTCTTGCTATATAGCCTAGGCTGACATAAATTCACTATGTAACTGGGCTGGGCTTCTTAGTCCAGGTTACTAGTAGATGTTTCTGTGTTTCATTCTTTTTGTTTGTTTTGTTGTTATTGTTGTTTTGTTTTGTTTTTTGAGACAGGGTTTCTCAGTATAGCCCTGGCTGTCCTGGAACTCTATAGACCTGGCTGGCCTTAAACTCACAGAAATCCACCTGCCTCTGCCTCCTGAGTGCTTGCATTAAAGTGTGAACCACTACCCCCAGGCTGCTATGTTTGATTCTTGAATGATGATAAAAACACCGTTCCCTTCCTTTTAAAAACACCACAGGAGGAAGACAAGGTTGTCCTGAAGTCTGAGTCCCATTCATGAGGGCTGCTGTGGGCAGAAGCCATCATTAGGATTCTACAATTCAGCATAGGCCAGTGGAGCCCCTAGTCCTTGCTGACTCCAGTGTGTGACAGACAGCAAGATTAATGTCTCTATCCTGGGACTTACACCATCTTCTTTAGTAATGGGAAGAGGGCATAGCCCTTAGTTCTCAGTGTTAGTTCCCCATCTGTCTTGGGCCTTTCATGTCTCAGGGCTGGATATTCCATCTCTGAAAGCCTTTTAGTGTTAATGGTTCTTTCACAACACGGAAACCGTAGATCATCGTTTATCTTATTTTACCACAGCAGAACATCATAGACTTGGTTTTCCCTCTGACTAAAGGCCTTCCTGTCTCCCTGACTCAGTACTGACTCGGAGACTGTGAATGAGAGGAACAGAGAAATAAGGGTGGAGTAACCTGGGAGTGGGGTTTAAGAGGAAAGACAAGCAAAAACCAATATGATCTTCCTGGGATTTATCTGGCTAGAGATGGCATAGAACCCTCCACTGTTTGAAAAGCAGTAGCCACTGAGCCAATTCCCAGACTGTAATTCCCTTCTGGAGTCTTCTCTAGACCACTGTCTGGAACAGCAGGCTCTGTGGCGCTTGGTTTCAGTGGGTGACCTCTCCCTAGAAGAACTTTACATCTGTCTAATCCACACTGGCTTGCTGCAGTGACTGCTTTTCACAGGGGCCTCTGGAGACATTCCATCCTCCTACATCACAGTAAATTGCATTGCCTCTGGAGGATGGGGTGCGGGAGTTCGCCATGCTCTGTCCACAGTACTCTTGTCACTGTCATAGAGGCATTAAGGCCCTGGTTTCTTTTCCCTTTAGCATCCCTTTGCTTTCTTAGCAGTTCAGCTTGTCTGTCCTAGATGACCTTTTTCTTCCTAACTGGCAGGTCTCCTGAGATTCTTGCCTCTAATTAGCAACTTGTCCTTTCTCCTTTTGCCCTGGATCACAGCCTCTTAAAACATAGATTTTGGGGCCGGGGAGATGACTTGGTGGGTAGAAGTGCTGATGTAGCAGTACTTTAATGTACTCACAAATAAGAGAGAAATACAGGATAGATTTCAGTGTGAGTCTCTCTGTCTCTCTCTCTCTCTCTTCTCTCTCTCTCTCTCTCTCTCTTTCTCTCTCTCCCTGCAACAGGGTCATTTGTGTTTAGCCCTGGCTGTCCTGGAACTTGTTTTGTAACCAGGCTGGCTCTGAACTCACAGAGATCCGCCTGCCTCTGCCCCTCAAGTCCTAGGATTAAAAGTGTGCTACTACCTCTTGGCTTCAGTGTGAGTTTCTTAAGGCTTGAAGCATTGTATGTTGGTGGGAAGACTGGAGTGGTGGAGGATGATGGGAGAACTGTCTACACCGAGGAGTGGTGTGAGCAGACTAGAGGAGTCCAGGCCCTTGCCACGACCTTGGAGAGGAATTTGGGAAGGTGTTTTGAGGAGAGACCTGTCTGAGAACTGTTGTGACAGTGAATGGCCCTCTTCCCATTTCTTTTCCTGGTACAGATCCCAAGAAGAGATCACACACATGTGAATGTGTGCACGCATGCGCACGCACACAACACACACACACACACACACACACACACACACGTGCGCGCACACACACAAATACCTTATAGAGTTACATATGCACTTTCTCAGGAACACAATCTTTACTCCTAGGTTAATACTCAACAGAAAAGAAATCATGACAGCTGTTCTAGTTTGATTTTTTTTTTTTCTTTTGGGGGGTGTTTTGTTTGAGACAGGATCTCACTATGTAGCTGATGTAACAGACTTGTTATTTAGACCAAGCTGGTCTCAAACTCACAGAGATTTGCCTGCTTCTGCCTCCCACGTGCTGAGATTGAAAGCGTGTGTCACCACACCTGGACTAGTTTGATTCCTGTTTCTGTGATAAACACCATGAGAAAAAGTAACTAACTCATGGTAGGAAAGGATTTATTTCAGCTTTCATTTCCAGGTCACAGGCTGTCACTGAGGAGGCAGGACAGGAACTCACTGTAGGAACCATGGGGGATTGCTGCTTACAAGCTCACTTTTCCCCTGGCTTGCTCTGCTAGCTTTGTTACATAGCCCAGGCCTGCCTACTTAAGGACACCGCCACCCACAGTAGACTAGTTCATCAGTCCTCATAGACATGGCCACAGGCCAGTCTGAGCAAGACAGTTCTTCATTGTCTTTCTGTTCTCTCATTCCCAAGTGACACTTGTGTCAAGTTGACAATAAAACTATTTTGTGTGTGTGTGTGTGTGTGTGTGTGTGTGTGTGTGTGTGTGTGTGTGTGTGTGTGTGTGTGTTCTTGCATATGTGTAGCAGCTTTGTTAATAATTGAACATGGAAAATGAACCAAATGTTCAACAGAGAAATGGATAAATAGGTTTTAAAACTTCCATGTAGTGAATTCTACTCTGCTGAGAAAGAGGGAAATTGATGAAGCAAACCACTGAGCCATGTGAAGGCATCAAAACTCCATTGTGACCTAAAGAGGCCAGATAGAAGCCATATACTGTCACATCTCTTGGGAGAAGGTCTGGAGGAAGTGAAAGAGATGTGGAAGAATCAGAACATTGGTTGCTCTTGAGACTGGAAGGAACTGGACAGGAAGGGGCAAGAGAGTGTTCTGGAACGGTGGGTGTATTCAGTGTCTTGGAAAGCATTTGGTTATACCAATGTCAATACTGGAAACTCATGAAACCTGTCCCTGCCACGTATGCATTTCACTCTGTGAAGATAATGCTTCAGTTCCTAAGATGCTTGTCTTGGAATTGGCTTATAAGCCAGATAGCCTTTCTTACTTCTGTCTCTTTTCTCTCATGTTGTTAGCATAAAGGCTTGTTTTAAAGGATGACAGGACACTGCATCCCAGCTTCAGCTAGCTGGCCCACATCCCTCCAGCTTCTTCTTCTTTTTAAGAATTCCCGTGTCCTGTTGTGCCCAAATGCAGACTAGCACCAGCCTGGGTTTTCTGACTAAATAGACACTTGAGGTCCAGACTCTAAGGTTAGCCTTCCTATTTCAAGACATAGTTGACAAGATCATCAAGAAAGAAGGACTATGTGGTACCATGGAATGGGTTTAAATTGAAAAGTTGTGTGCTGTGTAGCCTTAAACGAGTCCCCTCTGCCTTGATTTCCTATAAGATGGGGATAATGGCACCTTCTTTGCAGTTGTCAGAATTAATGAGACAGCTGGAATAGGGCAGCAATCCCTGAGCTTGGCAATAGGGAGTACCAGGAAACCTGGCACTGGGGTCCTGCTTATGCCTGCCATGGTTCTTGTTTACAAAGATAGTGTTCCCCAGCCTCCAGGGCAGGCCACCTGCTGAAACCCTGGACCCCTTGCATGTCTGTCTTGCTGAGAGCGTATGTGAGGAACCCATCTGGCTTCAAAGTTTTTTTTTTCTTTCTGTGTTTTAAGGGTGTCAGCATTGAAGCCATGAGTGAGAATAAAATGGCGTCCTCTGAATTTGGTTCTGGGCCTGTGGAAAAAGCTGCCAAACCATTGCCATTTAAGGATCCCAACTTTGTGGTAAGTATA